CCATATCATCATATATCATTTAAGAAATATTTGTAGAAATTTTTTACATTAAGTGAACGGTAAAAATAGCGCATATTGAACATATTGTTTTTTTTATATATATATATTGAACATATTGTATTGAATGATATGCTTAAATGATTTAGGGTGTAATAAAAAGTAGAAAATGAATCAATAATATAATAAGATAAATTTAATCTTGAAGGATTAGCAAGAAGAAATAAGTAGAACACGTATACCTTGATAGAGTCTTTGTAACATTTTTTGTTTTTTCAAAACAACATTAGTATCACATGTAACATCTTTGTGGGGGCGTATGTGAAATGAGGATTTAATCGATCTCATAAGCTGGCAAACTGTCATTTTGACTTTTGTTTTCATGTGTTGTACCTTCTTTTCCCAGTCATGGCATTGGGATTGGGATTGGGAAGACTTTTTCTCACAATTATTTATTTAGGGTATCTCCAACCCAAAATCCACTTTCCACTCTAGAATACAGTAAAACTCTAAATGCGGTAATTCGTCTCCAATCGAACTCCACTTCGCTTCATCTTGCTGCCAAAGGTCACTATCTTTCTCTTTTTTCGCATGCTTTTTCGGCAAATCCTGAACACAGAAAATTAAAATAGCGTGTGTGAATATTGGCGTCGCACTGTTCACTCCCGGAGAATAGCGTGCGAAACGACGTTCGGTTGGATCGTTTAGCGGACGACAATGACATGTAAGCCGTTCGATTACGGATGATCTTAGCTTCTACGATTTTAAACTACAATTTTAAGAAATCTTCATTTTTGTTGCATGCTTTTCTGTTAGAGTGTGAATTATATTGGAAATAAAATTGTGCTGTTCATCTGAAAATGTCTAGATTCATTAATTCCACCCCAATTGCACCCGCCGGCTCCATTGCCGCCGACCTCCTCCCGTCCAGTTCCACCCGTCCACCTCCTCTTCCAGCCCGTCCTTCCCCTCCTGCACAAATCCCGGTTTCCAAATTGCAATCTCCCTCCAAATTGTTGGGATCCAATTTAGGAAAGTTTTGGAATAAATTCCAATTTTAAATTTAAAATTTTATTGGAAATTTATTTCAGAAAATTTAAATGCAAATCCAAGTTTGGCAACCCAATTTCCCCCCTCAAATCTCTCCCTCTCTCTCCAGCATTGCCGCCGGCCTCATTAATGGGATTTTCCATTGATTAGGCAATCAATCCCCCTCCCATCCTCTTGATTTGTTTGAAATTCAAATCAAGCCTAATTGGCTCACCTCCACGTCATACACAAAAGGAATTGAAACTTATTTCAGTTTCAATTTACAAAAATCTGCTCCTTTGTTCCCTACCGCCGGCTCCCTTAATATTCCCCATAATTGAAATTTCAATTAATGTCTTAATTACATTAATTGCAATTTCAAATCTCTAAACTTTCCTTCCTAATAGTCTAAACTGAAATCAAATTTCAATTGTGCACACCCAGCCCGCCCCTCTCCTCCTTGCTCTACCGCCGGCCTACCCTCTCCCTTAGCCAAGCCGCCGTTCCACCCTTCCTCCTTGGAAGATCTTGCTTGCGGCGACTTTCCGGATCCCCTCCAATAATGCATGGACGTACCGGAGTGGAATTACGGTTTTGAGTACGACGACAACGGGAGGGTCGACATCCTCCGATCACAATTCTTCGACGTCGGATTTGACTTCGACGATACCGTCGAAGAATATTTGGCCCGCATCGTGCCGACACTCATAAAATCAATCGACGAACACTTCTCCGACTACACGTGGCTCATCGAAGGTCGATCTACCGTGCCCCCTCCACCTCCGAGATCTTCTTCCACGGCAACGTTCCTTGGCGCTTCCATCTTAGTGGCAACTTCCATGCTAGTTTGGACAATCTTCCGCCGTTCAACTTAGTCTTCGTAGGAAGAGAGTGCTAAAGACCTCAAAGTGTGAACAACTTGGTATTAATCGCGGGATTTTTTATTTACTAGCTATTGTGTTATGTTTTCTTTTTGCAATTGCTTAAAAGACTTGGCTCTCTTGTTGTAGTTTCTTTGCCTAGCATATTGAACACCGCGAATGATTTATAATTGACTTAACTTTGACGCATGATTAAATAATTTGAGAAGCTGAAATTTAATTCTCGTTTTAAATTCTTGTGTAACTCTCCAACGCATCACATCAATAATGTTTCTCAAAATCTCTACCCCAATGATTAAGATTATGGCTTAGATTCTTCACTCTATTTCAAATATAGATTTTTTATATGCGTACGAGTAAAAATGCCAAGTCATTAATCCTCATTGACACATTTAAGCTTTTGGGTCATTAAAAGCTTGACAATTGGTGCATCAAATCCAACTTTGGACACTTTGGAGTTTGGTCCATCCTCCTTCCTATATTTTGACAATAATAAAAAATAGTATGATATATGGGATTCACAAGTTGCATTGAAAACTTGATCTCAATCGAAACAAAGATTGATACGATCATGCAACATTGTAAGAAAAAAAATGGGATTTTTGACGAAATTTCCAATGGAAACGTAGTGGTGATCAGAAATTCCACTGGTGCATCGCGAGCATTTTATGGAGATATTCCCAACCACTTCCCACTGTAAATTTTGATGAAAATATAATTACTTATTTTAAGATTTCTAGCGAACATTTCTATCGAAATTATTTAATGAATTATTTATCTTCTTCCCATCACATCTCTCAAAGCTCTTGACCTTTTGAGCCTCGTGAGTGTACTGCGTCAATTTGGGGTCATTTTTATTTTGATTTCTTCGATTAATCTTCCGTGGATCGGAAGATAAATCTCATTATCTATATTATTTTTCAATCAATTTAAGATTTTGTCTATTAGTTTTTATAATTTAGGCTTTTAAAGTTTAGGGAGTTGGGTTTAAATTAAAAATAAATGTTTATATTTTGATTTGGATTACAAATATATTTTGAGAAATCATTATATTTTACTTTAAATGTAAGTTATATCCCATTGACCTACATATGTTTTCATATGTTGGATCTAATTGAAATTTTAGGTGAAATATTTGTTTAGTATATTTATATTTTTGTTAGATGTTAGTGATAATTTTGTTTAAAATTTTATGGTTAGAATTAAAGGGTTGTTTGCTTTAAAGTAAAAGAGGTGTAATTAACATATTTCAATGTACGTTTTGAAAATATTGGTCTTTAGTTTGAAATAAAAGAATTGCATAAATCTTTTTTGAAGTATTTAGATTTATATGAACTTTACCTGCTAACTAAAACTATGTCAAGTAAATTTCAATTTTATAGAAATACAACATATACATGTAAATTATGTCCAGAAAATTTATACATTGATGCGGGCGACGATTGGTGGCCGACGGTGGAGATCTGTGGGGGGGTGACAATGATAGTAGTGCAATGTAATTTGGTTGCCTCGAAAATAGTTCCATTTAAAATTGAATGAGTTTAATTTACTTCAAAAATAAACTAAAATAATTCACACTATATTTATAATATTTTATGTTGTATTCGTTCTTCAACGAACCGAACATTAATATTTTTAAAACTCCTATAAAAGAAATATTGTGCAGCCAAATCCAATCAAACAACCCAATCTTAAGATAAATATAAAAATTTTATAGCTCATACTGGGCAGTACGAGTTCAAACTTCGCCCCTCTTTGAACGGCCGCTCGCCGCAATACACCGCTACCTGGAGAACGCTGTGCCCGCTCCTTGCTCCTCACAGCACACCGCGCTCGCTCCCCGATGCTGGCGGCGACTGCGCCTTCCCGCTCACCGTTGCCCGTCGCTCGTCAAGGCCACGAGTTTCACGGGTCTTCTCTTTGTTCTCGCTTGAGATCGATGCCGCTCCTCCGATCCCTCACAGTCCTCCACTTCTCTAATGGCTACCTCCGTGCTGCCTCTCATTCTAGACCTCCCATTGGCCGGCTTCTCATTGTTTCTCTCACCTCACAGCGGCGCATTTTAGTCTTCCCACAGGCCATTCGCTCCTCTCTTCTACTTTCAAACTCCGATGTCAATCCATCTCTTTTGCCATTTATGACTTTGATGCAGTTCATCTCCACGTTCCTAGCCTTATTATGTGGAGCTGGACTTAATTCCATTTGGTTTCTTAGGGTTTCCTTTGGCTCGTCTCCCTTTTGTCCGTGTTCCCTGCCATCAACATATTTAATTATTTCCATCATATCAGTTAATCTACATCATACTTGCTATATTAGTTTTTGGCAAATTAATATAAGTTGATGTTGCCAATATCATTTTCTCTGAAGCACCTTTAGCTCTTATTTTAATTGAAATAGACATGTCCGCACTTTCAGATTCGGAGATGTAATTTGACACTTCTTATTTTAGTCATTATTGTTAGCAAAAATTGAAATTCGAGGGTTTGTCAGTCTTTCAAAATTTTTATCATGACTGTTATTAGCTTTAAAGTTCATCCAAAAATAGATAAAATAATCCTTTAATGATCATATTGCACGTACCAATTTGTTAGAAGATGTTCCCTTAGCTTTTTCCTCCTAGAATATTCTCATCCTATGAAAATTATTCTAGATTCCTCTTACGAGTCTCTCTATATGACTATATGTCTTTCCCTGTTATTGTAGGTTTGTTGGATGTCACTAATGACTAATTATTCTGTGTGGACACATGACAGAGAGAATTGTCCGAATTAATTTGTTGTGCTTTTATTGTCGGCCTTTTGTTGTGCTCTTATAAAAGGGCATTAGAAGAGCAACAAATATTTAATATTTACTAAATAATTGAATATGTGCTACGTTTTTTCTGAGTATTTGCAAAACCAAAGTAAAAGGGCAATAAAAACATATTCATAATTGAATATTTGATGCTTTTTACAAAAATGCAGCAAAAAGACAGTAAAACATAAAAAATTCGGATGATTCTCTTGTCCGGTATCCACATAGAATAATTTCTGTTAGAAATACCTCGAGTCCTCTGTATCCTCATATTTGATTGTTGGGCCTACTAATATTTTTGGAGCTGTATCCAAAACAATTTGGGGCCTATAGATTGAAGTTCGTTCATAAACTTACTCTATTTTAGTATCCTTGCATTATTCTCATCACAAATCTTCCAACTTTGTCATGATCTCACTTTTTCTTTTGTTTAAATTTATCTGTAAACTGGTAAGGTAATTTCTCTTCTTATTTTAAATTTTTTTTGAGAATATAATTTGTGGGGCTTAAGATTATGTTATTTTTTTTGACTCATTTTTATGTTTTCAAGGCTAATTAAAGGTATAAAATTTTGAGCATTTTTTCCATATTTTTTGAATTATGATTGATGAATATTATATTAAATGATTGAAGGAAAAAGATGAAGAAGTTTTAAATTTTCGGCGAATTTATCCATATAAAAAACCAAAAAGAACAACACAACAAATTCCCTGCAAAAGAACTTAAGAATAGTAAATAGGTAATAATGATGTTGAAAAAAGTAGGAGGCAAGAAGAGAGTCGTAGTCTTATCCTCCATAATACTTAGCTGCCTCGATCGTGTGGAGTTTGTGGTTTCGGACCAGTCCAGTTTATATTCGCTACAACAGCACGGTGGGTCTTAAACTTCTCCTCTAAGGTGCTTTTACCCGTTCTGTGTGGAAGACTGGAAGCATGGTATATTGAGGATTAATTAGAACGCTTTTAATTCTTAGTTCCTTCAAATTTAACTTTATCCCATGAATTTATTCCAATATTTTACTTTCATATTTGATGCTTTTTATTCCATTATAATTTGTTGGTATTTCTATTTGTTTCTTTTCTCATTTAGTTAAAGATGACTTGATAGTTAAAATAGATAGATAACCCTGGTAAATATGTGTTGTCTCTTCTCTCTCAGGTTAAATCTCGTAGGTCCAAATCGCCATCTGCTGGTCTAGTCTCACCCATCTCAAGGAAAACTAAATTAAAGGATCCCATAAGCGAACATACAAAGAAGAAAAGAGCACAAATATCAAAAACTCGAAAAAATTTGAAGTCCATCAGGGCTTCAACGTGTTCTGGTAAAAAGCCTGATGATTGCGGAAAGGCTCCTCCTCTTCGTAGCATTCTTAAGAACCGGATTACTTCAAATAAAAATACAACAGTGCTGGCAAGGAGGATTCGTGGCCATCATATAAATTCTTGTGGTGAATTAATAAAGCATGTGTCTTTTTCGGATAAGGATGACATAAAGAATGCTGCTCCGAAGGAGTTGCCTCAGTTGCAGACCGTTTGCAAAGTGTTATTCTCTGATGCCTTGGCTGCATCAGCTGCCAATAAAAATTCTAGCAAAGGTGAAAAACATTCAGTTGCTGTTGAGGGGCCTCAGCTGGAAATGGAAAATGTCGACGTTTCTACAAGTTCCATACGGTTGGCAGATAGACCGGGTGGTGAGAAAAGCCATTCTAGTGATCTTTATGGTCTTACAGCCAGTGTTGTAGATCCTAACAGTATTAACTGCCCCGATAAAAGCAAGAACAAATTTGAAAATTCTGATTTGAACAAGAACATGCAAGTGCATAGTAGTTTGAGCTGCCCCATGGCTACTGACTCAATTTCCATACATTGTCGTCCAGATTCAAGCAACAAAAAGATAGCAGATTCTAGTTACATTGAGGATTTGTCTTCAAATATTAGAAATCATGTCCAAAGAAGTACTTCAAATACACCAGCCATCAGTCGTAATTCTTTTCACTGTAGAATTTGTGCTCCAAGATCTGATTCAACTTATTCACAGACGGTAACAAGAAATTCAGCTATGCAGCCTTTAAGATCGTCTATTGTAAGCACCATGCTAAGTAATAATGATAGCTCACAGCCATCCACTGTGCCAAACATTACAGAAAGTAGGCCAGCTTGTCTTTCTTCAAAGCACTTTTTGAGCAGCAATTGCTCCTCTGTTGGCTCAATGAAGTTCATGGAACTGATGCAGGCATCAGATCCAATGTTTTTCAGTAGGGACAAGATCACCAACGAGGATATTATTAGCTTACCTCTTAACTCGCAAGGAGAACTTGTCAAGTTTAATAATCCTTTTACGAAGCAAGCATTCCATTGCTCTGTAATTCCTACTCATATGGAGCCTATGAGAAAAGTAACTCAAGAAAATATGAAAGAGAGGTTAATTCCTAGAGAATCACTCTATGCTAGAAATATGTCACTAGTTCTACCTAAACAGTATTGCAGTTCTGAAAATCATCTCACATCAGGCCATAATATTTCTGAGTTACAAAATCATGAAGGAATGGAAGCCGAGAAACTTGAGCCTGTTCAAATTAAAGATCCTTACAAGGGTTCTTTCAATTCATGCAAAATACAAAATTGTCATTGCCGGATAGACAGATCGACCATTGATGTTGCTCCTCAACCAACTATGCGCTTGATGGGTACCACTGTCACCATAGGTGAAATTAGCAAAGAGAGAAAGAGTTTTGATAATGTGAAAGCTTGGGCTGGAAAGAAAATCACAACTGATCAATTGCCTGAGCAGGACAAGTTCAAGCCCTCTGCTCTATGGGCATCACAAGAAAAACTTTTACTATCTTCACGAGATCACCAGAGCCTGCATCACATTCTTCCATTAGTTAGGCCAAATTTTGATCTCCATCAATCACAAATGGCCTTTGGACTTCCCTCCACCAATGTTAATCATATCCACCCTTCACAGCCATATCTACATCTGACACAACAGCCATTGGTTCATTGCAATCCACAAATAGTACCATTTATTCGTTATCCTACTCCGTATCCTGGGACTAACTTTCTTTTCCACCCTTCACCATCCTCCCAATCACTGATCGCTTTGCCAGTTTATAATATCCAAACTGGCTCAGCTACTTCAGCTTCTTTTGTACCAGGCTATTCAGTGAGCGCATCCATTTCTGCGAACAATTCCAACCAAGTTAGCAGGGATCAAAGCGCTTGGAACCATGGCCATAAAATGAAGAGAAGATTGGCAGAAAAAGGTCAGGAATTCATCAGACCATTAAAGAAGGCTCATGTAATTTTTCCTGTTAAATCTTGTTCTTTTTCAAGACCAGTAGGGAGGGGACAAAATAATATGTTCCATCCAAGAAATATTGGAGCTTCTACTGGAGTGCTTCGTCATGGCTACGAAGCAAGAAATCTGAACACACAATTCTCAGGTTTTAAGAACGATGAGTACAGACGTTTCATTGAATCTAATTCTAAATATCACAGAGGGATGAAATCCAGTCAAAATATGAAGACAAGCAGTTCTAATACCATATATAAATCACAAGTAGGACTTGCCAAATTGAGAGCAGGGGCAAAGCATGTTCTTAAACCATGTAGAAATTCCGACTATAAAAGCTCTAAACTGGTTCATTCAGCTATTCCTTTAGTAACTGGTGATGCTTCTAGTAGAAATGTGGTTTCTCATAAAAAACTTGAAGAAATTTATAGTTTTTAGTGTATATTTTAGCCTGGGGGAACCTAGGATCCTTCGACCAAGGTTTACTTTGTCCCATTAAAGTCCATGAAGGGCAAAAGCTAGGATGTTTCTGAAATGGTACTTTTGTGATGTTTATGGGGAGCCTTGAATGATTGATGGTTGACCTATGACAATTATTTGTGAAGCAATCTTTATTATATCATACTGTTTTTTTTCATTTATCATATGTATCTTCAAGGCAATTAGATTAAAAATTTGTTTGGAATGATTTTTTTACTACTTCTTGAAGCAGCTGTTTAGTAAAAAAATTAAATTTTTTTACTAGAAAGCTACTTTAAAAAGCAGTAAGAAAGCCGCCCCAAACGAATCCTAAGTGAGTGCTTTAATTCCTCGTCCAATATTTAATATAATTGCACTTTGATCTTTACCTTTTGAAAATTGTGGGATCCCACGCACTCTGCCGTCTCCTTGCATCCACCCACTCTGAGTTTCCACCCTAAGTAAAGAAGTTGTGGCTTCCATTAGGAAACCAATTATAGTATGTTCTATTAAGCACACGACTTGAGGAGCATAGCCATTAGATTTTCGTCCTCTTAACCTTCGAATTGTAAATCATGCGCTACTTTTCGTTCACCTAGCTGTCGGCCCTCCTTTTTAAGATTATTTATTTATTTTATGTAAATAATATTTACATTTTTTCATATGTAATATTCTTATAGGAGCCTATAAATTCTTTGAATTTATGTATAGAAAGAGAACAATAAAATTCAAAACAATTTTTCATATTTCTACTTTTTACATGGCATTATAGTGAGATTAGTATTTCAATTTTTTAACCTTTGTTATTTTTTTCCTTCTCTTCTTGTCAAGATCTTCATGCACTTCTTTAGGTGGGTTTCTTTTACTTTCTTTCGAATTACACAACTATCATAAATGGTGAAAATCATATTAAAGGATAACTTTAGATGTTATAATTAAGCCTTATGTCGCTTCAATGAGAGAATTTATTTGAAATTTTCTTAAGTTATGAAGATTTCTCTGAAAGAAAATGGAAAGATCCATCATCTTGTGGATCTTCCTTCGACGTCAAAAGACTCGAAATTTATACTTTGGCATGATACTAATTTCATGATCATGACATTGCTGTGGAATGCTATTGATGTTTGAAATTAGTGGGCTGCATATGTTCACATCTACGCTGAAAAAAAAAATTAAATTGAGATGCCATGAAACAAACAAACTAAAAAACGATATCAAAATTATGATCTCAATTAACAAGCAAAGAAACATTCTTATTATCGAGTAATTTATTATAAATGAAGGTTTATTACCTTAAACTTGATTATTACTAAACTATCAAGATGATATGTTGCAATAATTATCAAGCAATTTATAGAAAGAAGAAGAGTATAAAAACAGGATTACAATATCCTTAAAAAGAACCTTCAGCTCACTAATGCTCAACGGAGCTACAAAATAAGTCAAAATAAAACCTAAGAGCCGTTAATGAACTTAGTTGCAGTTAATTTGCTGATGCATGGGATTAACTTGCTACGTAATAGTCCTGAATACCCTTTTAACCTGTGTTGAATAATTCACAATAATTATTTTCCTAAAACAAGTAAAAAATATTTTCTTTCTTTTATGTCCTGAAGGGAGGATATTGGCAGGCCCGCCTTGGGGCAATTAGGATTCCTGCATATAGCAGATTGTCAAGGTTGGCAAGTCTGCTGTTACAACAGTGGGGGCTCCCTCAGAAAAAAATTATTAGGTATGTAGTGCGCACCGTCCGCACAAGCACTAACGGTATCCAATGGTACCGAGTGCGGGTATCGTTAGGTACTCAATACTTATGCGGACGGTTCTCCCCGTCCGCACTCCGCACCTAATAATCTCTCCTCCCTCAAATCCCTAACATTGATGCTTCTCGATCCACCCTTGATTAGCATCCTATAGCAAACAATTTGGGCAGATTTTGTAGTTGTCTCCAATAATATCTTCTAGAAATCCTGTTATCCATTGGTAGTAATTTCTTAAGTGTAATTCTTGCCATATTGTGAGTTTCTTATGCAAATATATTCTTGTGGGATAGAGACTAATACATGCAGAGGCGAATACAGCCTTAAATTTTAGGTGGAGCAAACTTATAAGTAGCTGTTGGTGTTGCCTCAAATTTGGCTCGACCATTCACTACAAGAAAATAGGTCAATAGCGAAAAAAAAAGAGACAAAAAGAAAATGGTCGCAAAAGATGATTAATCATTCTTCAATTTCTACAAAATATATGTTGAAGTTGCCTTGAATTTGGCTTGACCCCTATTTGTTCATATTCTTGATCGTCGTAAGCTTCACAAATATGTCGGGGTTTCTGGGCTGTCCCCGGAATAGGATATTTTTGGAATTCAAATTAATAAAAAAAATGATGAATTATCTTTACTATTTCTATTTGTACGCTTGATGGGTACCACTGTCACCATAGGTGAAATTAGCAAAGAGAGAAAGAGTTTTGATAATGTGAAAGCTTGGGCTGGAAAGAAAATCACAACTGATCAATTGCCTGAGCAGGACAAGTTCAAGCCCTCTGCTCTATGGGCATCACAAGAAAAACTTTTACTATCTTCACGAGATCACCAGAGCCTGCATCACATTCTTCCATTAGTTAGGCCAAATTTTGATCTCCATCAATCACAAATGGCCTTTGGACTTCCCTCCACCAATGTTAATCATATCCACCCTTCACAGCCATATCTACATCTGACACAACAGCCATTGGTTCATTGCAATCCACAAATAGTACCATTTATTCGTTATCCTACTCCGTATCCTGGGACTAACTTTCTTTTCCACCCTTCACCATCCTCCCAATCACTGATCGCTTTGCCAGTTTATAATATCCAAACTGGCTCAGCTACTTCAGCTTCTTTTGTACCAGGCTATTCAGTGAGCGCATCCATTTCTGCGAACAATTCCAACCAAGTTAGCAGGGATCAAAGCGCTTGGAACCATGGCCATAAAATGAAGAGAAGATTGGCAGAAAAAGCTCAGGAATTCATCAGACCATTAAAGAAGGCTCATGTAATTTTGCCTGTTAAATCTTGTTCTTTTTCAAGACCAGTAGGGAGGGGACAAAATAATATGTTCCATCCAAGAAATATTGGAGCTTCTACTGGAGTGCTTCTTCATGGCTACGAAGCAAGAAATCTGAACACACAATTCCCAGGTTTTAAGAACGATGAGTACAGACGTTTCATTGAATCTAATTCTAAATATCACAGAGGGATGAAATCCAGTCAAAATATGAAGACAAGCAGTTCTAATACCATATATAAATCACAAGTAGGACTTGCCAAATTGAGAGCAGGGGCAAAGCATGTTCTTAAACCATGTAGAAATTCCGACTATAAAAGCTCTAAACTGGTTCATTCAGCTATTCCTTTAGTAACTGGTGATGCTTCTAGCAGAAATGTGGTTTCTAATAAAAAACTTGAAGAAATTTATAGTTTTTAGTGTATATTTTAGCCTGGGGGAACCTAGGATCCTTCCACCAACGTTTACTTTGCCCATTAAAGTCCATGAAGGGCAAAAGCTAGGATGTTTCTGAAATGGTACTTTTGTGATGTTTATGGGGAGCCTTGAATGATTGATGGGTGACCTATGAAAATTATTTGTGAAGCAATCTTTATTATATCGTACTGTTTTTTCATTTATCATATATATCTTTAAGGAAATTAGATTAAAGTTTCGTTTGGGATGGCTTTCTTATTGCTTCTTAAAGCAACTTTTTAGTAAAAAAGATTTAATTTTTGTACTAAAAAGCTTCTTTAAGAAGCAGTAAGAAGGCCGTCCCAAACGAAGCTTAAGTGAGTGCTTTAATCTCTCATTCAATATTTAATATGATTGCACTATGACTTTTACCTTTTGAAAATTGTGGGATCTCACCCACTCCTCCGCGCTCCTCCTTGTATCTACCCACTCTCAATTTCCACCCTGGGTAGAGAAGTTGTGGGTTTCGTTAGAAAACCAATTATTAGTATGTTCTATCAAGCACACGACTTGAGGAGCATAGCCATTAGATTTTCTTCCTCTTAACCTTCGAATTGTAAACCAATACTTATGCGGACGGTTCTCCCCGTCCGTACTCCGCACCTAATAATCTCTCCTCCCTCAGATCCCTAACATTGATGCTTCTCCACCCTTGATTAGCATCCTATAGCAAACAATTTGGGCAGATTTTGTAGTTATCTCCAATAATATATTCTAAAAATCCTGTTATCCATTGGTAGTAATTTCTTAAGGGTAATTCTTGCCATATTGTGAGTTTCTTATGCAAATATATACCTGTGGGATAGAGACTAATACATGCAGAGGCGAACTCAGCCTTAAGTTTCAGGGGGGGGGCAAACTTATAAGTAGTTGTTAGTGTTGCCTCAAATTTGATTTGACCATTCACTACAAGAAAATGGGTCAATAGAGACAAGAAAAAAAAAAACAAAAAGAAAATGGTCGCAAAAGATGATTAATCATTCAATTTCTACAAAATGTGTGTCAAAGTTGCCTTGAATTTGGCTCGACCCCTATTTGTTCATATCCTTGATCGTCGTACGCTTTGCAAATATGTTAGATTTTCGGGGCAGTGCCCACGAAACAAATTTTGGTTGTAAGTATATTTTTAGAATTTAAATTAATAAATAAAATGATGAATTATCTTTACTATTTCTCTTTATATTTCATTCATCGTTCCCTAACAATTACACCCCTAAATAAAAGTTTTAGGGGGGGCAATTGCCTAAAAATTCTTGTAATAAAGATTAAAAAATAGACGGTGAGGGACAAATTACCTGAAAAATCATATAATAAAGAATTTTTTATTTTTTATAGGGGGGATCCGCCCATTAATACATGTATCCATTGAACTTGATATAAATTGCATGATTAGACTTTAATATGTCATGGTGCATTACTTTTGCTGTCTCTGTCTGTATTTTGTTGCTTTTATTTGCTGAATATAAATTGTTCTGCACAGTATCATAGATGCCATATACAGTTAATGAAAGAATCTAATATGTTACTATAGCAAACACTATTTCCTCTCCTTTATTTCTCTTTTCTGAGATAAGATAGCGTGCAGATTACAGATCAGTACAGTTTCA